AAAAAAATAGTGGATATTAAATTTGTTGAAGCAAAGAATGCAGTGACTTTTTAAAATTATTGATAATATTATATATATTAAGTTGGTTGCGGTGGTGGTGGTGGTTTAACCTGTTTGAAAAAAGGCAGAATTTCTTGACGTGTTATAAATCTACGTAAAACATCATTGCCATCTATAGTCCACAATAATAATAAGAGCTAGTAAAATTAAAAAGCTCTTTCAATGCATAACTCTGAAGTAGGATACTACTATTAACCTCTATTCTGAGTAAAAACTGAGTGCAGTCAATGGTCAGAGACTATTCCAAAGTCATGTTCCTGCTGTTGGGCAAAACAAAAACTCAAATCCAAGTTGTGTTAAAATTCAAAGCTCTTTTTAAAACAATGCTTCTATTTAATTTCCTACTTTTGTGAATATATCAAAAATTTACATTCTGTCTAGTTGATCCACAAAAAATAAATTTTAGATGATGATCACAGTTCCAAACAGTCCCTGATCTCATTCTTGTCCTGTGCTCACGTGTTTTGCTCAAGTGGAACTGTTCCCCTGTGTCTCAGCCAGGTCTTCCGTTTATTTTCATTAATGTGACATTGCTCCAAGTATGTTTAATGGTTGTATGAAGCATTTTTTCTACTCTCCTTGCACATGGCTGTCTTCCTTCAGTATCTAGCAAATACCCTAGCATCAGGCAGTCTCACCAGCTGCCCACAGCAAGGCAGGAGCCATACTTCCAAGTCTTACTATTCTATCTGTCACATGACGTTGGTGTTTAAAGGAATTATAGAGTGTTGAGTACGACAATGATAATAGGTAAAGTCTATTGATGAATAATTTTAATAGTAAGCATTTAGTGTCTGCTAGATTCATGTTTCCTCATCAATTTTATTCTGCCAAATCTTCTCTGAATTACCTGAGCTGTATTCCCACCATATGGGCATACATGCGTTCATCACATTACATGAAGGACCATTGTAAGCTAAGCTTAGAAAGGAGAGTTATAATTTATATAAATTATATATAATATATATAGTTTGTTTCTAAAGCTAATTCTTGAAGCATGCACTTGATATATATAATGTTATACAATATATTAATGTTGTATATATATTTGTATATAATATTGCATATATAATATATATATAGTTTGTTTAGTTTCTAAAGCTCATTCTTTTTTTTTAATTTTTTTATTGAGGTAACATTGGTTTATAACGTTATATAAATTTCAGGTGTACATCATTATATTTCAATTTCTGTATAGATTACATCATGTTCACCACCCAAAGACTAATTATAATCCATCACCACACACATGTGCCTAATCATCTCTTTTGCCCTCCTCCCTACCCCCTTCCCCTCTGGTAACCACCAATCCAATTTCTGTATCTATGTGGTTGTTTGTTGTGTTTATCTTCTACTTATGAGTGATGTCATACCGTATTTGACTTCTCCCTCTGATTTATTTCGCTTAGCGTAATACCCTCAAGGTCCATCCAGGTTGTCACAGATGGCCGGATTTCATCGTTTCTTATGGCTGAGTAGTATTCCATTGTATATATATACTACATCTTTATCCATTCATCCCTTGATGGGCAACTAGGTTGCTTCCAACTCTTGGCTATTGTGAATAATGCTGCAGTGAACATAGGGGTGCATGTATCTTTATGCGTTCGTGTTTTCATGTTCTTTGGATAAATACCCAGCAGTGGACTAGCTGGATTGTATGGTAGTTCTATTCTTAATTTTTTGAGGAATCTCCATACTGTTTTCCATAGTGGCTGTACTAGTTTGCACTCCCACCAGCAGTGTATGAGAGTTCCCTTCTCTCCACATCCTCTCCAACACTTGTTGTTTCCTGTCTTGTTAATTATTGCCATTCTGATGGGGGTGAGGTGATATCTCATTGTAGTTTTGATTTGCATTTCCCTGATAGTTAGTGATGTTGAACATGTTTTCACGTGCCTGTTGGCCATCTGTATATCTTTTTTGGAGAAATGTCTGCTCAGATCTTTTGCCCATTTTTTAGTTGGATTGTTATAAAGCTAATTCTTGAAGCATGTACTTGATGACAGGTACATGCTTTGGAGAAAGTTATATGTACTAGACCACACACAAGAAAAGTGAAGTAAAAAAAATCTTCACACTTCTGGACAGGATTGATTGTTAAAACTGAGAGCATGGTGATAACACTTCATGGAGCTATGCCCGCAAGCCCCTCCCCCATCGCAGTGCTTCTCTTTTGTGGGAGTGGCTTTTTGTTATACCTCACCCATCCATCATCATCACCAAGGAGACAGCTCAGCATGTCTTTCCTTTCCAGCTGAAGGGCCAGCGTGCAGGCGGTGGGCGCTCAAAGGTTAGGATGACTTGAGATGAAAGTGAGCTCTGGAGAAATCAAACCATCATGTATATAAACAAAATACCGAAGTTTCAACATTTGATTACTTTTCTCTTCTCTAAGGGAGGGAAGTTAATTTCATCCCCACTCTAAGGGTTTCATGATGTGTTCTTAGCAGAATGGAGCATGGAGAACAAAATCTCTATGAAGGGCTCCTGAAATCATCAGAAAAAAACATCAGAGAGGGTAAGATTCTTTTAAAATTATTCAAACACAGGGCCGGCCCCGTGGCTTAGCGGTTAAGTGCGCACGCTCCGCTACTGGCCACCCGGGTTTGGATCCTGGGCTCGCACCGACGCACCGCTTCTCCGGCCATGCTGAGGCCGCGTCCCACATACAGCAACTAGAGGGATGTGCAACTATGGCATACAACTATCTACTGGGGCTTTGGGGAAAAAAAAGGAGGAGGATTGGCAATAGATGTTAGCTCAGGGCTGATCTTCCTCACAAAAAAAAATAAATAAAAAATAAATAAAATTATTCAAACGCAAAAATAAATTATAAAAATTTGTTTTTTTTCTAGTTTATAGTCATCTAAGAGAAATTGAAGTGGGCTTGGTGGTATAGGGGAGGGGAGTGACCGCTGGGAAGCATCTCTCTCTCTCTCTGTGTGTGCATGCACGTGCACACACACACACACACCCCTACAACTCATATTTTACAATAAGAAAATATTATCTGAAACTTCTCTAACCTGTTTTACTTTCTCCCAAAAATCTAGAAACTACAGGTATTCTGGAGAGTTCCTCTTTTTCTTATTTTCTGATAAAAATTTCCAGTTAAAAACACCCGGCTACCTGTTTTTAGCTGCCCCTTCTATCTATAAATGAGCTGTGGTACATCTTATTTCTTCTGTATAAAATCATTCCCTCTTTTTGCCATTTTTAAAACCTTTTCAGGCTAAAATCGTAAACTTGAGATTTAAGGTTTGCTTATTGTTACTGGAAAAGCCTCTTTACTCATCTGGATTCATGGTCTCTGTGCTGCATGAAATTTAGTGGGGACTGGAGCTAACTCAAGGTTTGGAGGCTCCCTATCCACAGTTTGATTTGTTTTTGTTTTTAAATCCAACGTCTTCCAGGAGAGCTTGGGAGAGGAATTAGCCACAATTGGTTCCAGTCCATCAGCCAGTCGGGTGATTTTGCTGCTCTGCACGGAAGCTCCAAGTGATGATCTCATTCTCATATTCAAAGATTCTAGGACCCCGACCGGCCCTCTGCTGCCCTATTTTTATGTGGGGAATCTTTGTCCTCTTGCTTTCTTTCACTTTCTTTTTAGGCAATGACCCCTCTGCTGCTTGACTGCCTGTGGTCATGAGGACGCCATCCTGAGGATGCACAGGGGCAGGGGAAAGCTGGGGCCATTCATTGGGCCGAGTACGACGTGCTTTGGTAAAAGGCTCGGGGAAGGAAGTTAAACTCTGTCTACATTTAGATGACTTACAATTCAAACCCTAGTTTTATTAGATTATTTGTGGATTTAAATTCTAAAATTAATTTAGTGAAATGTCTGGTAAAAATATTTTAAAATCAGTTACGTTAGTCTGACATCATACGAATTAAACCATGTGAACATAGTTGGAGTTTATTTCCTCCTTCCAGGTAATCATGCTGTCATTATAGAAACTTCTGCCTCATACAATGGTGAAGCTGGGAACATGTGCCGTCCAAAATATCAACAAAATTTAAACTGGAATCCCTCACCAGCTTCAGTTTTAATATGATGAGTATATTAGGCATTACATGGAAATCGTATATACTTGGTATATTTATTTATTTATTTTGTGAAGAGGACTAGCCCTGAGCTAACATCTGATGCCAATCCTACCCCCCCCTTTTTTTTTTCGCTGAGGAAGAGTGGCCCTGAGCTAACATACTTGGCCATCTTCCTCCACTTTATATGGGATGCCGCCACAGCATGGCTTACCAAGGGGTGCGTCGGTGCGCACCCGGGATCCGAACCTGTGAACCCCGGGCCGCCGAAGCGGAACGCGCACACTTAACCACTTGTGCCACCGGGCCGGACCCTATACTTGGTATATTTATACCTCTAAAATATTTGAGGAAACAAGTGTCCTCGTAAATAAGAAGTTGACTTTTTGAGATGGTTTTATTGTGAAAATACATATTACAAACACATTTCCTTCATTACTACTTTAAAAAAACTAATATTTGTAATTTTTCTACTTTATACCCTATGAATTGTATGGCAACAAGAGCACAGGATAAAATAAGACTCCCCTGCCCCGCCCCAACTTGCATTCTATAGCTGGACCAGGAGTATTCTGGGGTATTTATACTCTGCAAAGAATGGTACTCCTATGTATGCTGTGTGCATCTACAAGTCATATTTCAAATTCTGCACTGAATGAACTTATCAGCAGTCTTTGCCCATGGCGTTCATTGCCTCTGACAGATCTGTCCCCCAGCTGGTGTTGATGTCTCCCTGCAGTGTAGGGAGATCATTAATCTTGTATGTTCTCTTACTCTGTGGGTTTTTTTTTCTTTACTGAGATTTTAAAACAGATTGTGCCTGTTTCCACTGACCTTTGAGAGACTTGTCATGTGTCCTCTTTGAAACGGGTTGGGTAAAAACCAATTACTTGAGTATAGCTGGGGTCATGGGCAGTAATTCTGTCACCAGGATGGGAGCCTTAATTTCATCATCTTTCTCTGCATCAAAATCGGGGAGGGCACCGCCAACAGAAGCATTATTATTAAGCATCTGAAGACATGCTCTGGGACCATCCTGATTAGCGATTCTTCTCCAGGACTGGTGAAGTCACTTTATCCTGACTGCTGAGCTGCATTGATAAGGCATTGGGGACGCTCGCCCAAACTGGCTGCCAAGAGCAAGTGAGGAGGGAATTCCTGAAGGCCCAGCTGCCTCTGCAGACCCCGGCAGTTGAACCTTGTTCTCTTGGCTATGGAGAGAGAAAGGATTGTATCTGCACAAGCAGCATAGAGAAGAGCAATAGAATTATCTAGTGAAGACAGGTGTTGAGAGAGATACCAGGGCTTGCTGAATGAAAGAATGAGTGAACAAAACTGGACAATCCTCTTTAGGCTCAGTATGTGCTTCCTTCTCTGCAGCTGGTTATTTGTTTCTTTCTGAATTATTTAGGACACTAGTCAAAGGCTTTTGCTTTAGTCTAATTATTTAAAAGTGGCAAAGACACACCATTCATTGAATGTTTACACAGCTTCTCACCCCACATTAAAGCTCTTTGTAGGATTAAAAGCAAGTGATGACAAACCTTCCGAGAAAAAGCCTACATGAGCCTATAAGACTTAATCCTCTATCAAATGTATGTCTTCCACGTTCCATTCACCGCAGGGCCGGTGCAGTGACCTGCAGGGCCCGGTCTGTTAGCTCCTTTAAACTCCCGTTCTGCCTACATTTGGCACAGGCACCAAATAGAGAGATTGCTTTTCCACTTTTACAAATTTGTGCTGAACCCTTCTCCTGTTCTCAATCATGATATCTTATTTGGATTCTCTCAATCAAGACATTGCTGCTCATTCTCCGATTTCTATCCTTTCTTCTTCTTTTGGATTTGATGTGAAGTGCTGTGTGGTCTCGGGCTGTGAACTTGGATTCTCTTGATAACAACTTTGACTCTGCCCTGGCTGTGCCTTTAGGTCACCTGTGGGTACATCATTCTGGGTATATTTGGTCCCAAGACCTCCCCAACCCAGTGCTGTCCCCTCCGGTATTGATTCTACCAGGTTCAGCCCAACCCTCTGGGATGAGACAAAAGGCCCGACTAACAAGGCGATTAACAATAGAATGTTCATGATTTAAAAAGAGTTTGATACTACATTGGAAAGAATCCAGTGATGTAAATGAAAGCCCTTGTTTACTGTTGATTTTTATAGCCTTTAAAATATATTGTTACCGAGAAAGGCAACAATAAAAATAAATAGCTGCTGGGTTTAACTTTATTTGTGTTTTACCTGTAGTGGGGATTTCTACCTGAATAAGAGGCACCGAGGTTAAGAGGCAGAGGTTGTGTTTTCATCACGACCTCTGAGCTACTGAGGGAGCATCTGGCCTGTGGAGGTGGTGAGGTCTCCAGCGTTTACTGAGCTCCTGCTCAGAGCCTGGAAAGGTTTTAGGGACTATGGCTGTGGAGATGAACCAGATACACACAGAGCTTGCGCTCATAAAACATATATTTTAGTGGCAGAGGAAAAGAAAAAAGAAATAAGCAAGTACATAAATAAGAAATTATCGGTTAGTCTACCATAGTCAATCTCCCTGAGCCCTTGAAGGTGAACTGATCAGTCCCCTTTATCTCCAACTCTCCCCCTTCTGGAAGCTCTCCACTCAGTGTAGCCCTCTGCCTTTGAGCTCTTCTCACCGCTATGCCCAACAGAAATAGGCAGACCCCAGGCCAGAGAATCCTACAGAGTCTGCTCTCACTCAGGCTCTCTGGGCCTCTTTTTCCTCATCTATAAAATGGGTGAGTTAGACTCGATCTTTAAGGTCTTTCCCATCTCTACGATTTTGAGGCTATGAGAAACTGAGGTGGATGGAATGGGCACAAAAGTGGGGTTATTTTCCTTCCTTCTAAGCCTAGAAAGATGTGTTACGAGTGTTCTTTTGGGTAGATATTTTTAAGTTTTTTGAAGTCAGAGACCACATTCCCTCTCCCCACCCCCTAACTTTTTTTTTAACAACGCCCAGTGTCCGGAAGTCCACCATGTGACAGTTACCAATTTATTGCCTCTCAACTCCCAATTCACCCTTGAGTACCTACTCTGCAATAATGACACCAGCTCTCACCAGTAGAGGGCGCCGGAGGGCTTCTTTTCCTGGTTCTGGTGCTGATGTGGTTTTACTTTTTCTTGCTCCCGCTGCGCACTGTGTTCAGCAGTGCAGGGGCAGAACATGCAGATCCTTGGTGAGCTCGCAGCCCTGGCCCAGGCCCTGGCCTGGCAACCATCTCGCTGTGCCCCACACTCCCAGGCAGACACGGCCCACTCCGGGCTGTGCGCTGCCCTGCCAGCCAGCCAGCCAGCCAGCCAGCCAGCGCTGCAGTCCTGTCTCCTGAACTCCCTCTGCATACCCACCTGTGGGCCTCACATCCTGTGGGCTGTTTGCAGCGCTGGGCTCCTGCTGAGCACGCTTTCTCCACTGGTTGACTCGTGCAGCAGTGGCATGGCGTCCTCCAGCGTCGGGCTCCTGCAGCCCTCGGCTCCTCCAGCTCCCTCTGCAGCCGGGCCCAGCCACCAGCAGCTTCCTCTGGCACCCCAGGGGGCAGATTTCCAGCAGGTCAGGCAGTGACTTCCCTACCAGGCAGTGAGCCACAGCCCTGGCCTCTCCAAGGAAGTCCAGATCTCAGCTCTGGGGGTGGGCTCTTCCTTGGGTGGTCTAGCTCAGCTTACAGGTGTTGCTCTTTAGAATTCTCTGTAATCACTAGCCAATCCCCCTCCCTATTGATCCCCTGTTAATAATTCTTTATGTTTAACTTTCCCTGCTCAAGACACTGTGTGGCTTTTGCCTCCTTGTTGGACTATGCCCCATCTCAGGGTTTCTCAAATTCAGCACTAGTGACATTTTGGGCCGCATCATTCTTTGTTGTGGGGGCTGTCCTGTGAATTGTAGGATGTTGAGCAGCATCCCTGGCCTCTACCCACCAGATGCCAGTGGGTCTCTCACAGTTGTAACAATAAAAAGTATTTCCAGACATTGTGAAATGTCCCACGGGAGGCAAAATCTCCCCTGATTAAGAACTGCTGCCCTATCTCAGATCTCTTTTCCCATCTGTCTTATCCTATTTCCATGTTACTTCTCTTCACAGCACATTCTCTACCTGGTAGTACATGTATTATATGCGTATCTGTTTCCTGTCTGTCTCTCTGGCTGGAGTGTCAAGGACATAAGGCTGTGGGCTTTGTTTGTTCCTGCTGTAACTCCAGCACCTAGGACGATATCTGATCAATTAGCATGAATGAAAGAGTGGGTGTGAGAGACAAGATGGGAGAAGGCAAGAGAAAGTGCAGAACCCTGAGCAGAAAAGGACAAGATGTAAAGAGGCTGGAGGGAAGGCACGAGGAAGGGTGGTGGGCGATGAGGTGGCCAGCAGCTCACAGGGCACGTGGACCAGGGAGACGCCCATTGGCATTTTGGCTGAGTTTTGCTGTGCAGCAGGCAACAGAACCCTCTTTACCGAATCTTCTGGAACGTGTCTCTCCATATACTGTGTAGTGAGCTTTTTTTTCTGGGAATGAAGGCAATTCTGTGACTTGCCCCATGGCTGGCTCTTGTTGAAGACAGACCTCCAAGAGCACTCAACCAGATTGAGTGACCCAGATAAACACGCTTATCCACAAGGAAGCTGAGTCACATCAATGCCAGTGACACTGAGCTGGGCTCAGTTCTCCAGGTTGATTTTCTTTAAGGTTCACTTTCTCCCAAGGAAGCATGAGAAACACAAGAGGCTGGTAGCAGGGGTGACACTAATTACACGGGTGTAATGAGCAGTGCAAAGCCCTAATGAACAGAAACCATTGGCTCGTTCACAGTTATTTTTCAGAAAAGAATTATTTTGCTTTTGCTCCACTGGTCCATTCATTTAGATTAAATGAGATGATAATGGGTGCGAAAGTGTTTGTTAAAGTGCAGAGTTCCATAAAACTGGGGGATTGATACTATTACTGTAAGAGGAAACGTCTGCTTTCTTTTAACAAAGCTTTGCACAGGAGCACATCGGAGTGTTTGTTGGCCACTAAAGTGAAAAGGGCTTTGTGTGCCCTGGGGAATGGATTCTGCACCGGTTACTAATGATTCCTTTTGAGGAAGCTAGGACAGCCAGCCGGTCCTTCTCCTATCCTCCAGAGGGGGCGCCACTGCACCAGATGCGGGTACCTTCCCAGTGTCTCCTGGATACGCCCTGCAGTTCAACTGGAGATTTCCCCGGGGGCCGAAGAAGCTTCTGTCTGCTGTGATTCGCCCAAAATAGCCTTCTCAAGTGTGTCTAGGCAACAGAATACGGATGCAGGACGTTGGGAAGATAGGATGGAGGTCTGCTGGAGCTGTTTCAGTTCTCAGTCACGTGAACACACACCTCCTAACTCACTAAGTGCGTGCCTGTTCCAGTGGCCTTTGATGACATTTTCCTGTTCCATCTGAGAAATGTAAGGTCTTTGAACAAATACAGATCAAAGACGGATGTTTTATGATGAGAAAGGAAAAGAAAACAATGACATAAAATACCCCACCATTACACGGCTTGCCAGTTTCTTTTCTGAAGTATGATTTTAGTAATGGGTGCACTATGTAGGCAAATAAAAGCATGAAAAAGAAAATAAAAGTTCATCTATCCTTTCTCATCTTCTCCAGGTTGCTGGGCCTGCAGCAACTCCATCAGGTCCTCGTCTCCAGGGCTCTGAGCCATGACTCTCCAGGTTATAATGCCCTTCATTTTCCACAGAAGCTATGTATCTCAAAAAATGTTTGCCTCCAAAATTCCGTCAAATAAGAATTAGGTAGTGATTTAAGTCTAGGTTTTATGGCTTTTAATGGATAACTTGAAATGCCAGCTCTGCTTCTTACCCAACCACTTACTGAAACTTTCTGAACCTCATATTAAAATGAGATGAATGTCCACATCATTATTTGGCTGGTGGTGGCAGCGGGTGGGGGGCTAAATAGCATAACGTGCGAATAGTAGAGCATAGTACAAAGAAAGTGGTCAATAAATGGTAGTGATTATTAAAATTATTTGCTTCAACGTTGGATGCATGTTTTTCTATCTAGCACCTGCAGGTAGATAAAGCCAGCAGGCAACATAAATGATTCTGGGGGATGATCGTAGAGGCTGAACCTCTGTGCTGTTAATTCAGTCTACTCCAGAAAAAGGGCATGTGTGCTAGATATTATGGGGGCACATGGAGGCATGACATATTTTTAGAATTGGTGATTTTGTGGGCCCTGAATTTTATTGAAACCTCATTAATGCTGATTGAGTCAGATACACCTAGATACCTACTCTGAATTCTAGGATATTTTAACAATAGGGTCACTGCTGTAGGTTGAGAGTGGTAAAGAATATAATTTATTATTTCTCTCCACTCTCTCGCTCTAAAGATCCAACCATTTTTCCTAGTCTCCCTTCTCTCAACAACTACAGTCATGCACCGCGTAACGATGTTTCAGTCATGATGGACCAAATACACATGGTGGGCCCATAAGATTAGTACCACATAGCCTAGGTGTGTAGCAGGGTACACCATCTAGGTTTGTGTAAGTACGCGCTGTGATGTTCACACAACGATGAAATCGCCTGACAAGCATTTCTCAGAACATATGCCTGTGGTTAAGCAATGCATGACTGTACCATGTTGGCGTCTACATTGTGTCAAAACAACTGACTACTTCATGTATCAAATCCTGCTTAGTTCAGTGAGTGGGGGAGTGGTGCAAACATTCCAAAAAAATCTCTTTAGGCTGTGAGAAGTAACTGAATTCTCATTTCTGTGTGAGTAGCTCATTAATTCAACCTCACAGATAAATCTTGGAAAAAAATAATTTTTTTGTCAAGAAATTGAACTCTGTCCTCCTATTAGGCTCGACTACTGGTCCTGCACAAGTAAGGAAAGACAATTCTCAACATAGTAGAAGTATTCTTATGGCCCAGTGACCATTTAGTAATAAAAACTATTAAGAAGTCTTTCCTAGTTGGGGGCTATTGGGGAATTCATTCACCAGACAATGGCTGGGGTTGTTCCAGGTTGCTGGAGTGAGATGCCCTACTCTGAGCTCAGCTCACAGAAATCTATCTTGCACTCTGCTGCCCTCTATTGGCTGGAACATGGATTGTTCTCTCCAACAGCGGCCTCCCTGAAGATGGAAGAATAATGACCCCTGGTCACAAACGTTCATCTGGTGCATTTTGTACATCTGGACCAAAATAAATGTCTGTTTCAAGAAATTTTTATTGAATACACTCTGCACTCCTTACCTCATCTCCTTACCTTGCCTAATTTCTCTTCTTAGCACTTATCCCATCTGACATATATCTATTCATTTATTTGCCTTCTGACTGTCTCCCTGACTAGAAGGTAAGCTTCACGAGACCGAGGACTTCGTTTGGCTTATTACTGTACCCTCAGGCCTAGAAGAATGCCTGGCACGGAGTAGGTGGTCTACGAATATTAGTTGAATAAATGAATGAGTACTTAGTATAGCTGATGAAAGATTAATAAGACAATGTTCAGGCCTTCTGGAGGCTCACAATCTGAAAGAATTGGACCAACAAGGACTATGGATGTAGGAAAAAGCGTCAACACAACTAGTGCTCTATAATCTGGAGGCGATCAGCCCTAGGTGGTTGTTCGTACTTATCTTCAGTGTTTGAGGAGCTGTCATGTGGAAGAAAGACTGCACTAGTTCAGTTTATTTCCAAAGAACATATCAATTGGTAGAAGGTACGGGGGAGAATTTCAGTTCAACAGAAATCTCAGAATTGTCTGAAGTAGTTTTGGACTACTTTGAGCACCGTCAGAGGCATTTAATCATAGCCTGGAGAAACTTCTGCCAGGAGGTGTTTTCATTTGCAATGATTCTCAAACCTGGGATGTTTTTAAGAACTCATTTTCCTGAGACCTTTCCTAGACACACAGAATCAGAATCTCCAGGAGGAGTTCCCAGGAATCTCTATTTTATAAGCTCCCTGGGGTCAGATGTGTCTGTCTGCAGACTGTTGTTAGGGAATCACCGGACTCAGGGACCAGCACCAGAAGGCTGGTTAGACTGAGTGAACTTAAACTTCTAACCATAAGATTTATGGCTGCAGAAGACCATAGAAATTACTTTCCTCTTACTAGTGGTAATAGCGGTAGGTATAGTCTGTGCCAGGACTATCACCAAAATAGAAAACTCAATCAAGAATTGCAGTATGGGAGTCTGGCAGATATCTTAAACAAATAGGAGTAAAACTCCATACATTCTGTCATCCTGCTGAGGGTAGAAATGACTAATCTTCAAATCCCACGACCAGATAACCCACCCTACAAATTCTGTATTGTAGTCAAGCTTGTAATGAATATTTTCTATATATTTCATTCCCAATCTTTAGGGCTTGGAGAGGAAACTGAGATAATGGGTCAGCTCCTTTTAGGAAGAATTATTAAATGAAAAAATGTATTTTGAACCCAGCTGAGGAAGAAGGAAGGATTCTTGCTAACTACACTCTACCCACCTCTCCCTAATCTTTGTGTCACGTCCTCAACTTTTGTATACGCTGTTTTGGTCTTATGGGAGATTTGCTAATTAATATGGGGAGTGGAGAAAGGAGTTAAAGGCTATTTGCTCATCCTTCTCAGCTTTTAATGCAAACAACCTTTATTTAGGAACTTGGACACTTATTGTACAAGTCCCGTCTGCATTGGTCCATCCATGGTAAGTACCTGATGAATGCCAGCTGTTGTGATGGTCATGTACTGAGGCCAGGGTGAGGGTGTGAACATAAAGATGAACAGCCTGCGGTCTCTGCTCTTGAGGAGCTTGGAGTCTGGCTGGGGTGGTGCAATCACAACAAACATGACGGGTGCTAGACTAGAGTCCTTACCACTTGTGCAAAGGTGTGTGTCTCTGGTGTCCCCAATTCAGTTGCAGCAGACATTGTGTGAAT